GCTGGGCCTGGGGCTGCTGGGGCTGCTGCGGCCGTCGCCTCATTCCATGTCCCATTCTCGAATGTTATTCTGTGACATATAACCGAGTCACCCGGGCAGCCGCCGATGTTCCGAACGCGTCCATTGGCCACCGCAACAAAGAGGGGCGGGTCCCGGGCTCGGGACTCTACAACCGGGAGCTCCGCGACGCTCTGATTGGCTCCGGGGCTTCCCGGGCAGGAGGGGAGAGGAGCAGGGGGAGCTGGGCGGCCACGCGAAATCCGATCGCTGTCTTGTCCTGGGAGCCCCGCGGGGCTGGAGCGTTTGTCCATGGGACTTAAGACCGAGTTTCCCCAGGGAGGGTGGCACTGCCAAGGTCTGCGACTGTGGGAAGCAGAGGAGAAACAAAGCCACCCAAGAAGTGACCCCGAGGTATCGGAGGGCTTGTCCTTAGAACTTCGTTCCCTGAGGAAGGCTGGACACAGTCATCTGCCCCTAGCAGGGAGTGATGGACAGTTTAGGCAGGGGCTGTCACAGGAAGGTACAAAATTAATTTTTTTTTTTAATCTCACATTACAAATTTTCCAAAACCAACAAGGGGGCACAGTGTGTACCTTCTGACATTAGTCATGATTAATAAATTCCTTTTAAACCCATGCTGATATGCGCCACTAAAACCCAGGAAGTCAGTGAGGCCCCAACTACTCTGTCACAGCTAGAGTTAGAGTAGGGGCTGGAGAGATGCTTGAAAGCCATGGTGAAGTGGGAGCTTTTCCACACTCTCCACAAAACACTTTTGCCTTATGAACACCTTTTTTTTCTCTCTCTCCCTTTTTTTTTTCCTTAAGATTTTATTTATTGGGGCGCCTCGGTGGCTCAGCCGTTAAGCGTCTGCCTTCGGCTCAGGTCATGATCCCAGGGTCCCGGGATGGAGCCCCACATCGGGCTCCCTGCTCTGCGGGAAGTCTGCTTCTCCCTCTCCCACTCCCCCTGCTTGTGTTCTCTCTCTCACTGTCTCTCTCTCTCTGTCAAATAAATAAAATCTTTTAAAAAAAATAATAAAGATTTTATTTATTTTGGGTGGGGGGAGGAGCAGAGGGAGAGGGACAAGGAGACTCCACACTGAGCAGGGAGCCAGATGTGGGGCTTGAGCCCCCAACCGGGAGATCATGACCTGAGCTGATCACTCAACCGCCTCAGCCACCCTGGCACCCCCTCCCTTTTTTTTTCTTAAGAAAAAGAAAAGAAAACTGAGATGGGAGAGCACCAGACTACTGACCCAGGGCCAGGCTCTAAGTCCAGGTTTGTCACTTGGCTAAGTTGTGTGACCCAGGACAAGCCACTCGCCTGTTCTAGGCCTTAACTTCTCTTTCTGAAAAGCGGAGAGTAGAACACCCCCCACAAACTCACACACACACACACACACACTCCAAGTTCTATTCTGGCTCTAAGGTTCTGTAATTCTCTGGTTTCCTCTCTCAGGGACACTTAGGAACATGGCCATAATATCCTTTCTCTTTACACTCCCTGCCAGCTTTGGGAGGGTAAGCAGTTGTGGTAGCAATGCTAAGTTAACCTGGAATTAAGAACGTGGTCATCAAAGAGCTACTGATGGTGGAGGGCATGGTGAGCCTCCAGTGCAGCAAAAGCCCTGGAGTACAGCTGAGAGCCAGGCACTGCACACGGAGACCTGGGTTCTGGAAAGTGAGAACAATAATGTAGGTCCATGCAGACAACAAGAAATGGGCCGATTCAGGAAATCATCTGAATGATGCAAGTGAAACAGAACCCTTAAAAAAATCAGGAAACTGAGAGAAAATTATCCTCTCACCATATAATTGCCTCAGGTTTCATTTCTCCATTGAAAGAACACATGCCTCAGTGAGTGTTCTGCTTTCTCATCTTGAACATCCTTCCTCTCTGCTCACTCATCTCTCCCATCCGCCCCTCTCTCCTTACTTCCTCTGAGTTTCAAGTCCAGGAGGCGATATGAGGATGAAGACCTGTGTGCACAGGATGAGAATTTGGCCTCACAATCCTGCAGGAGAAAATGGAGCTCTCAAAGCCCAAGTGATCAGTTGGCGAACATTGAAGAATGTCTGGCAAGTTTCACCTTCCTTGGCATCAATTCCTAGTGTCCCACTCAGGCCAAGTCCAAGCAAGTACAATTAACCTGTTATACCAGGGCCTGGATCCTGCTCTACCTGAATCAAATCCTATGGACCAGAGAGGGTCACCAGTTCATGTTTCCGCTCCAGGCATCCCAGAACTCCCTGACAGTTGGGGGAAAAGCTTTTGTTGGTCATCTCCAAAATTCCAACTGTCTGTTCTCTTCTTCCCTGGGGGCTGGGTGCAGTTGGGGCCCAAGTGACATGGCCTATGAAGAGAACTAGGAGATTTGGCTACTTTTCCTGAAAGGTGCTAAGAAGGCTTGTGAAGTGAACTGTGCCGTCCCAGCGAAGGACTGAGAGGCAGAGGGCCCTTTTGTTGAGAATTCTTTTGCATTAGGGAATTGTGTTCATTGCATGGACCAGCCAACTCTATTCTTAATATCCTTGTGTATTTAGTGTTATGTAACACTGAACCCAGGCCAGACAGATGATGGGTTTTGAAAGTTCAAATAGTAAGAGTGACGTGGCCATATATATATATATATATATACACAGTGGGACAGAGCCAACTTTTGATTTGAACAGGGACGTGTGGTGACTAGAGGCTCAACCTCTGAGAGCATTTGTGGACATAATGACTGGAATAGCAGACATGTGTAGTGGAAGGTTTGGAGCAAGAAAAACGGGTCAAGGGGTGCCTGGGCGGCTCAGTCATTGGGCTTCTGCTTTCGGCTCAGGTCGTGATCCCAGGGTCCTGGGATCGAGCCCTGCATCGGGCTCCCTGCTCAGCGGGAAGCCTGCTTCTCCCTTTCCCACTCCCCCTGCTTGTGTTCCTGCTCTCACTATCTCTCTCTCTCTGACAAATAAATAAATAAAATCTTAAAAAAAAAAAGAAAGAAAGAAAGAAAGAAAAACGGGTCAAATAGTATCTCCTTTTTCAAGTGCCAAATGCTGAGGTCTCAAAGAGATTTCAAACAAAATCCCACCTGAGGGATCGTATTTCTAGCTCCACCGCTTGTTGATGTTAATAGCCTCCGAACACACCGTGGCTAGACCTCGCCTTTCTCCTGGCTCCACCGCTGCCCCGTGGCCTGCCCGATCTGTGCAGTCCAGTCGCCTGCCCCAGGCTGGCCAGCCACACGGGCGGAGTCTCTGACTCCCCCACGACTTCTAGACTCAGAGGAGAGGCCACACTGCAGGATGATGCATCTTAAGCAATCAAATCCTTTTGATCAATGAGAAACAGGAGGTGGGAGGGAGCTGGGCAGGTAAGTCCGCTTTCCGTCTTCCCTTCTGCGGACAATTCCGAGGCATGATTTTCCAGCAAAGCCTGTCTGGAGATGGCCTGCACGGCTGAGCAGACGTCCCTATTGAGGGACCTGCCGCGGCTCTCGGCAGCCGGTCTTGAAGCAGCTACCAGTGTGAGAACACCCCACCTTGCAATCCTTCTCATCCTGTCCTCTCCCGGTTCCCTTTTTTGCTCACTCTGGCTGCCTTCCCCAGCAGATTTACTCGTTGCTTCAGATTCTGCTTTTCTAGGGAAACTGAGCTAAAACAATTGGTTCCACAAGTGGTTCTGGAAAGCACATGCTCAGGATGGATTTAGGGCTTGTATTGCCTCCCTGTCTGAAATCAGTAGAACCCTTTGCTGGTGACAAGAGGGAAGGCAAGAACTCTGATACGCAGGAGCACCTCAGCTTTCACTTGTGTTTAATTGGGGTGAATTTGGTGGAGAGCAAGACATTAGGAGATCGAGTGGCTGTGGCAGTCAATCAGTTTGGAAACAATGATAATTATAAGGTATGAGAGACTTTGGAAACAGAAAATGACAGGCTCAGCGCAGTTAATTACCCGCTCATGGAATGCTCTGAAAGCCAGAGAGCCTCCACGGCGTGTTTAAGAGTCTTATTTCCTGCAACCGTAGTAGAGACTCTTAAAATCAAACCCAGGACC